TGTCTGGAGAAGAAAGGCATGAACAGACAGGAGGGAGTTCCACAGGCAGAAAGGGGGAGAGGAGCCTTGGGGGGTCTGGACTGAGCAAAGGGCTGGAGGCTTGAGAGTCTTAGGGTGTCTCCGATGAGGTTGGGATCTGGGGTGTGTGCTCTGCAAGGGGATGTGCACCTGCCCCATTCTTTCCCGCTTGGGACCCACAGGCACAACCCTGTGACCTCAGTGCGTCCCCACCAAAGAGTGGCCAGCGGGGGAAACCAGTCCCCTCCAACAGGAGAAGGCAGGGCTGCCTGTTCTGATAGCTGAAACGGAGGGACTGCAAGGATGTGATCAGGTGCTTTTCCGTCTGGAGGGTACAAAGCCGGCCGGCCTAAGCAGGTGCTGAGTGTGGGTGGGGGTGTGGGGCAGCTTCCTCCAGACGTCCTATGATGGCGGTGGAGGGTGGCAGGGACTGGGGAAGGGAGGAGAGTCGTGGGCTGTTTTCTTTAGAGACCAAATCACCAGTCTGGGCCCACACTGCCTGGGGCGGGTCCTCTGCTATTCTAACAACAGATCCCTGGGGACTTCAGAGAGTAAAAAGTCTAGAGACCCAGTCCTGAAGCTCAGGGCACGTGGGTACCAGTCATTGGCCCCAGATGTAGATGGAGCCGGAGGGCACTCAGTATCCCAGCACCTAGCCCTTCCTCAGACTTCCTTTTCTTCCTGCACAGCAGGCTCACGCCTCCCTCGAGGCGGCCTGGGTGCCCGCTCACTTGGCATCTTCAGGGCCCCTCCTGTCAGGCTGCACCACAAACGGTGTTCCTCAGAGAGACTTGCCACCCAGTCTGATGTCACTGACCCCTGGCCCAGTATGCCTCTCTCACTGTGCTGCTACTTCCTGCAGCACGGACTCAAGTGATGGCAGCCCCCCTTTGTGCACGTACTTGCCGTCTGTCTGTACCTCCACAAGGGCGGCTCCCTGCAGATGAGGGAAGGGCCTGGGGGTGTGAACTGCCACCTCACCCTGGAAGGCGCGTCTGCCCATCGAGAGGGGAGACCTGACAGCTCTTCTGCCCAGCGCCCATGTGCCCGGGCTTCCCAGACTGAGAGTCCTACTGACTTGCTCCCAGGAAACACCTTCTCCCGTCGCTTGGCTCCCTCTGGCCTGAGCCTGGGGCTATCTTGTCTTTCTTGCTCCTCGTGGTGGGGAAGGCACCAGGAAGAGGTGCCTGGATGCCAGAGAGGCCTCTGCCAGCCAGGATGATGGTGCCCTCTAGCCTGTGCTCCCTGGGAATAGGCTAGGCACCTGCCATGTGGACGCCTGCCAGACAGGCCTGGACTTGGACTCTCTCGTGTATGGGGACTCCCTGAGGAGGCCCAGTCCACTCCCTTGCTCCCTATCCACTGGCGTCTTCTCCCACAGAGAAGAAAACAGCCATGGGGCCCCTGGGGAGCAGTAGAGTCTTTACTAGATCATATTCCTAGTAACTGCTGAGCAATCGTGTCTCTATTCAGGACAATAAAATGGTGCGGGGCAGATATCTCCATAGGAACAACAATTGTTTCCCAAAACCGGAGGAGAAAAAGTGTCCCCAAGGCACTCCAACTTCCTGGGTAGCAAGCCGAGTGTCTGGGTGGGAAGGAAGAGTTGCTGGGAGGTGGGGGCCGTGGAGAACATATAACCCCCGGCAGCTCTCTCTGGCTCTTTGTGTGAGTGGGTGTGTGTCAGGGGTGTGTGCTACAGGCACGCAAGCCTTCTGCACCGTGTCTGTTACCTGGTCAACTGAGGCACCGGGCTCACTCACTGGCACAAGGAAGACAGAGAGACCCAAAGCCTGGGGCCGGTCCCCTGTATGAAGATCAGACCAGCATGCCCCTTTCTGGACTTTAAAGCCAGAGTTCCTTATGCTGAGTTCATGTATGTACGGAATGCAGTCCACTGCCGGGCAGCTAGCAAGGGCTCGCTAATGGCAGCTGTTTTCCTGACCCCGGAGTGGTTACTGCGAAAGTGGGCATGGCACAGGGGTAGTGGGGGTGGTTCTGGGCAGTTTGGTCCATGGGAGAAGACACGAGGGTAAGTCGAAAAATATTGGTACGAAATCAAAGAAATCTTTGTTAAACCAGAACACCCAGACGGGAAGTTATTGTTTCTTGGTGTGCCTGCCATCTAGGTCTGTCCACTTCAGAAAGTGGCGGTTCCGGTTCCGTCCGTCTCAAATCTTACCCTGGATAAGGTGACCAGACGGTCCGCTTTTGGCCAGACAGTCCCGATTTTTGGGGGTTTTAAAAAAATCCCGATTTTTGGAAAGAATGCACGACAAGCTAGGGAACGGTCTATTTGGTCCATATAGACCAACTTGTTAATTAAGAACCACCCACCACCACCCCCCGTCAATGGTGTCACACTTTAAATCTGGTAACCTTAACCCTGGAGCCTAGCGGGTCATGCGCTGGGCTGCGAACCACAGGCCAGCAGTTTGAAACTACCCCTTCCTCCGTGGGAAGGAGAGGAGGCTCCGGACTCCCGTCAAGAGTTGCCGTCTCAGGATCCCACGGGGGCGGCTCTGCTCTGTCCCCAGGGCTTGCTAAGAACTGGCATCAACTCAATGCCAGTGCGTTTAAGTCCCAACCTTTCCCGCAGGAATTCTGTGTTCCATGTCCTTGTGCTGTGGGCCCACACAGCAGTTTCGAGAGCCTCAAGGTCAGATGTTCAAGCTCAGTCTGAAGAAATGAAGTCGGTAGGGTAAATGGGAAAACGTTCCCAGCGCACGCTTGCAGGACAACCCTGGCTACCCTCCAGGGACAAGCGGGTGCGCTGCTGCACTGGGAAAACATTTTTTCCTTGAAACCACTTTGCTGGCCTTTCCTCCTGAATTCAGCTGTCCATCTTCATAAACTTCTTCGTAATAAGCTCCCATGATCATTCCGAGCCCTACAAGGACATCTGCCAAGATGACCCCTGAGGGAGCCTCAAGAACAGCCCATCTGAGCTGACCTCTCTGTCTCGAATTTAACTGGACCAGTCGATCCCCTTGGAAGCCACTGTTCGGACAAGACCTTTTTTTTTTTAATCAGCATTGACTGGAGGGCAGTGAGTGTGGGTTGGTTGGTCTGTTCAATGAGATAAAGATGAGTATGTACAGCTACTGGGAGGGCTTGTCTGCGGCCCTCCCCTGATGGCAGAGGCTTGTTAACAGGCTTTCCTCGGAATCCACTCATGCCTGTGTGACCTGGAACCCTGGTAGTGTTACTTTGGGGCTCAGCCTCCTATTGATGCCAGTCTGGCCTCCCCAGACACCATGCCCGCTGTGCTAGCTCCGGCACCCCCAGCCCCCAGCACTGTGCCAGAGGCAGCGGCAGCCCCACCTGACTGCTCCCAGGAACCGAGACTGAGAGGTGACCAGGGACCTCCAGAGGTTCCCCTTCCTGCCCTGGTCCCCTAGGGACTGCCTCTATGACTCGCACGCCCAGAGGAAGTGTTCCCTGGGCAGAGCTGGCTCGTGCCCCAGCCTCCCTGTCCCAGGCCAGCCTCAGACATGTGTGCAGGCCCTGAATTCCCCAGGGCCCGGAGGAGCCAAAGCCTGGAACCTGGAAAACACTGCCCCGTGGAATCAGGATTTTGTGCCTAGAATATGAAATTTTACATTTAAAGCCACCTGTCACGGTTGATTTATCAGGACCTGGAGGCTTCCTGTGAGGGAGGTGGTTTTTAGCAAAGACCGGCTGTGTGTGATTTGCAACCAAATTGCACAGCGGATCAGGAGATTAACGGCCTACTGCAGAGCCCAGGTGTGTGGATGGAGGGGAGGAGGGGGGCACCTGCTCCCAGTTTCCAGGCCCTAGGCCACAGGGCTCTGAGTCCCAGGGGACAAAGAGCCACTTCTGGGTGGAGTTCTCTAGGGCCGCTTCCCCCACCCCCCCTTCACTTTCGCTTGGCCAGGGTTGTTGTCTACCGGTTCGGTAGACAGTTAATGCAGATGTTGGCAGATCGAAGTTTTAATACACTTATTCCATTCACCCCTTATCAGATGCCTGGACACGCCACTGTAAAACAGGCCCTGTTCTGGGACACTGAGGGCCTGCAGGAAGGAGAGTCTCTTAGGTCCTCAGACTGACCCAGGAGAGGCAGGTCACACCCCTGGGTGTGCAGGATGAGAGTCATCCAAATGCTGCCTGCGCTGTCAGCTAGGTGAGGGAAGTCCTTCTAAGGGAGGGCGGTGGGAGGACGGTGTGTGTGGGGGGGAAGGCTTGGGTTGGTTTTGTTTAATCTGTATTTTCTCTGCTCAAGCCAGTCATATATATCCCTGTGAACAGTGTTATGGTCATCCCAATGGAGAACAGTCAGTAGACCTTTCTCATCTGCAAAAAACCACTCATATTCTCTGGTCATTGTTTTTGCTGACAATGTAGCCCGGAGGTGTGTCTGTCACTGAAGGTCCTGTTTGCATGGTGTGGTAGTTACACTTGAGGGCATAAAAGTGTCGGGGTTCAGTCTAGCCTGTCAATCAGGTCACACAGCCTCCTGGTGCCTCCTTGTGGGTGGGACCTCCTGCTAAGGAACCTCCCCCTTCTCTCTCTGCTTCACCTTCCTGCTGTGGAGTCACCCGGAGAGTTGGCAGAGACATCACCGTTGGATCCACACAACACTGCACCCACCGGCCTGTGACCCCTGCATCCTTCCTTGTGGCTGTGTGAGTCTGAGAGGGACTTAAGGGCTCATAGCAGGCTTATGCATTAGTATCAGATTTATGGACTTGTTCTGGACTGGGTTGTCATGTTTGCTTGATCCATAATTACCTCTTGATATAAAGTTCTCTCTTACACATCTATGGGTGTCACTGGATTAGTTTCTCTAGTCAACCCGGCCCAACACAAGTATATATTTGGCAAGCCACTCAGTGTGTGGGCTTTGGCCTACCTCACACCCAGAACCATCTCTTCTCGTCCTTTAAAGCACCCTGAAGGTTTTTTTCAGGGGAGTCCGTGGAGAAACAGAGCCAGTGCCCATGGGCTTAAGCGCCTACCTTTCTCTCCTTGTCACCGTATTCGATGCCCAAAGTGTCCATGGCCCGGACAATGGCCGCCAGGGACTGGATGGTGTTGCTGTAGACAACAGGCTTGTACTGTTTCACGTCTTCCCCGGAGAAGCCATCTTCATGGATGATCCTAGAGAAAGACCACACACGTCAAGTCTGACAGGTGCACTTGTCTCTGCTGGACACAGAAGAACCAGGCATGTGAGGCCCCCGGGGCCAACGCCCCCTCACGCCCCACCCCCACCCCTCCACAGTTCAGCTGGCTGAGGACCAGGTCTAGTTTGCATGCTGAGCTAATACCTTGCTGCATTCATACCATAGAATCTGAACGACAAACCTACCTGAACTACTGAAAAGTTACCTGCCAAGCAGGATATTCAAAAAAGAAAATACAGGATTTTACATTCCCTAGTGTTGGACTGCCAGCCACAAGGCTGGTGGTTCAAAACCCACCCTGTGCTCTAGGAGAGAAAGCAGAGTTGCTCTGCCCCTCGGCTCACTCTGATGGCAGGGGTTTTCCGATGCTGTGAATGCAGGGGCGTCGAAAGGGTACCTGAACTGCTCAAAAGCCCCGAGCACAGGTGGGGCACTGTGCTCTTAAGTCACATTCATGAGCTAAACTTAAAATCCATGCGGGCAGAGGTTGTCGAAGATCCCTGCAGGAAGTCTGTGCGCAGGTAATACAGATGGATCTGAGTCAGGAAACTCACACTTCCTGACTGTGGCGGCTTGTTGGCCTTACATCTTGTTAGTTATGCGTACTACAGCGTTAAGATACACCTGTGAGCCTGTATCTGTTCTCAACCCCCAAAGAGAAATGAAAATCAGATTTGTAAAGACACGGGTAATCATACTGAAAACCAAAATGAGGTCCTCGACTGACCTCAGAACCGACGTATGACAGAACTGTCGGCCTGGAGCCGATCGCCAGTCAAGGACTACTGGTGATGTAATCTCCTTTCCCCGGAAACTCAGAGCCCCTTACAGCACACACACAAGCAGGCCACAGAGCAGTCCCGGGAAGCAGTCTGTCTACTCTCCCAGCTGAACTGGGATTCACCTGTGTCTTCCCAGGATGCTGACAGGAAGGACCCAGAGGTGGGACCAGAGGTCCTCACAGCCAGGCCCTGTCCTCCAGCCTGCAGGGTCCTCTGAGGTTGGGGACATGCCTGGAGCTGGTGGCCACTGGATAAACGCTCAGTGATGACAGGAGAGAAGCCAGAGAGAGGGGCCCTCAACCCCGCACACAGCCCAAACGGAGCGAGAACCCTCCCATGACGGACACTCTGAGGAAAACAAAGGCGCGATAGCAACAGTGGTTTCGATTCGCGGTGACCCTTTTGGACAGAGTAGAACTGTCCCTTTGGGTTTCTGAGGCTGGAAATCTTTACCGGATGGACAGCCTCATCTTTCTCCCCCAGAGCAGCAGGTGGGTTTAAACCACTGACCTTGTGGTGAGCGGCTCAAGGTGGAACCCACTGCGCCACCTTAAGAAAGGCAGGTGAATTTCATGACTGATAGCTATCAGTAGCCACCGTTTTCACATGTCCCCGTGTGACAATTGAACGTTTCTTGTAATATGTACACAAATCAATAGATAAAAGACAAGACCACTTTTCTATCTTACTATAGCCCGATCATTCCTTCATTTGCAGGGGAAAAACTGCTAATAATTCTTTTAAAAAGAAACCCCCCACAAAAACCTCTTTCCATATAATTTACATATCACATCATCTACCCCGTTGAAGTATACAGTTCAGTGCCTTTAAGAACATAAACAAGGTGGTGCAGCCAGCATCGTGATTTTGGAATATTCTTGTGCCCCACAAAGAAGTCCTGTGCCCATAAGCAGTCACTCCCCATCTCCCTGTCATAGGCAACGGCTAGTCTGCAGTTTACCTTTATAAATGTACAGTCTGGCTTCATCAATTTGCCCACTCTGGGCATTGCATACATAGGGATTATCCAACAGGACTCGCTTCTTCCACTTGGCAGACTGGATACTGTGTTACAACAAGTATCCGTCTTTCATTCCATGTATTGCCCAGCAGTAACCCACTATATGACTGTGCTGCATTTTATTTGTTTGCTCATCAGCTAAGGGACACTAACCCTGCTTGTTGCAAAATCAGCCTTGGTGTTGACTTGTGGGTCTCTTTTCCCCACTTTCTCTAAGAAGCAGCCCAGAGGGGCCCTAACGATTTTCTCACTACCAATGGGTCGGTTCTGACTCACAGTGACCCTATAGGTCAGAGTGGAACTGCCCCCCCCACCACCCGGGGGTTCTGAGGTTTAACTCTTTATAGGAGTAGACAGCCTAGTCTGACTACTGGGAGCGGCTGGTGGGCTCCGCCTGCACTGAGCCCATCATTCCCCCGAGGCTTCTTTCTAGGGGCTTTTCAGAGTCTTATCAACCGTAAGTCCATTTTTGTAAACGTCTCCTGAGGGAGCATCAGGAGTTGTAGGCCTCGGACCAGGGGAACGGGGTGAGACTCCACAGGCAGGGCACAGAACCACTGCCAGAGGAGGACAGTCCCTGAGGTCGGAGCTGAGTAAGCCACAGGTGTAACTGTGACTGGAAACGGAAGGGCACTTTCTCCAAAAGCCGCGGAGAGGAATATCTTCAAACCCACCAATCCCCCACTCGGTCTGCAGCCGAGAGCCAGAAGAGCAGTGACATGAGCAGACACACGCGTGCTCGCCCATGTTCACACAAGCAGACGGATGGAAACAATGAAAATCCCATCACTGGACAAGTGGATAAAGACATGGTGGTCACTGTACCATATACACACATACATATGGTACCGACGTATGAGGATTACGGTGCTGGGGACGAATGTGGAGAGTCACACACACGGCTGTCGTGGAAGGAGTTTGGCTAGCGCCCACCTTAGAGGCCAGGATGGCGAGACTCGTCTCACACACCTTGAGCATGTTGTCAGGGGACACCAGCCCCTGCAGACCTACACCGTGTGTGGGCAAGTGGAGGGGCTGAGGGCAAGAGAAAGACCTTTGACGAGATGGATGGATACAGTGGCCGCGTCGATGGGCTCAACATGCAAACAACTGTGAGGTTGGCACAAGACCGGCAGTGCTTCCTTCTGTTGTACCTGCGGTCGCTCTGAGTCAGGATGGACTCGCAGGCACCCAACAATGAGCACACACACACACACACACACACACACACACGCATACACGTGTACACATGCACATATACACACAGGCACACGCACACACACATGTATACACACGTACATATACACACATACACACAGGCGCACACATGAATACACGTGTACACACGCACATATACACACAGGCACACACATACACATATACACACAGGCACACACATACACATATATACACACAATATACACACGCACATATACACACAGGCACACACACACACAGGCACACGCACACACACATGTATACACACGTACATATACACACACATACACACAGGCGCACACACGTACATATACACATATACACACATG